TTCTTGTTCTTGTTCTTGTTCTTGTTCTTGTTCTTGTTCTTGTTCTTCTTCTTCTTCTTCTTCTTCTTCTTCTTCTTCTTCCTCCTCCTCCTCCTCTTCCTCCCCCTTTCTCCTCCCTCACTTCCTCTTCCTCCTCTTCCTCCTCTTCCTCCTCCTCCTCCTCCTTTTACATGAATACTGGGGATGTTAGGTCTGATTTCTTCTTTTCTTCTTCCTCCTCTTTTTCCTCCCTTTCCCTTCCTCCTCCTTTTTTAATGTGAATACTGGGGAACTGAACCCAGGCCCTCATGCTTGCAAGCAAGCATTTATCACTGAGCTGTCTCCCCAGCCCAGACTTGGAAATATTTACCATAAAGAAGAAAATCCAGGAAAGGAAGCTAATAGCAGTGGTTCTAATACCCAGAAAATAACAGGTAGGAAGCTAAATCAGGGTGATCTTGAGCTCTGATTTCTGCATCTGGACAAACTGGGTCAATGTGAGTTTGACATGTGACTCTGCCTCAGTGGAACCAGAATAGGAGGGTCTTGAGCAGAGGAAACAGACTGTAGCTAGAGGTGCTGACCATAGCCAGGAGATCATCCTAAGATATAGATGGAGGTTTTGTGTAGGGTGCTGGGGTTCCAGAACACACTGATATTTCCTCCAATTCAGAGAACTGAGGCTGTGAAGGAACAGAATCTGTAGTATGAGGGCCGGCTTGTTGGGGTATCTGTCCCGCCCAGTACCCCACAGCAGGCAGGCCCCAAAGAAAATCACATACGGGACTCCATAAGATTATAAACTGAATGGCCCATTAGGTCAGGCTACTTATTAGCTCTTATAACTTATGTTACCCCATTATTCTTATCTACGTTAGCCACATGGGCTCATTACCTTTCTCAGTGTGACAGCTTACATGTTGCTTCTTCCGTGGTCTGCACAGGAATGGCTGAGAGAGAGCTTCTGCTTCCAGAATACTCCAAGTCTCTTTGCTCCACCCCTACTTCCTGTCTGGCTTTCCCGCCTATACTGCCTGCTGGCCAATCAGCGTTTTATTAAAATATAATTGACAGAATACAGATAATTCTCCCGCACCAACAGAAGCCATTGAACAGATCAGAGGATTAGGGTGACGAGAGGCAATAGGATAGGGTAGACTGGTTACCTCTGGTAATGTCACATTAATTATGTGGCCACTGCTGTAGTGTGCTTGACCAGTTATTAAAGGACAAGCAACAAAACAACACAGAGACAGGGGGTGACAGTTTGAGGCCTTGTGGCAAGGTTGAGGCCTTGGCAATCTGAGTATGGGGCAACTGATCAGGGTGGGAGCCACAAGTCAGCAGAGCCCAGAGTTGACAGCTTCGGTGCTGTCTGCCCACTTTGTGTGTTAGATCATTGGGCCCCACAGTACCGAAATATTGCTGAGATCTTTCTTCTTCCCCCATCAGTCAGCTCCAGCACCACATAAGACACACCACCAGTGCTCAATAAACATCACGTCAAGAGACTATGTGAATGAGCAAGGAACAGCTGGAGCTCAATAAACAGTGATTGACTCAATTAATTAATGGGAAATTGACAGCCTTTCATTCTGATTTCTCACAGTTAAAATTATGAGAAAGGAAACTTGCAATGGAGAAAAGATGGAGGTAATGTGAACAAAGGCTGCAAGAACTGTATCAAGGAGGAAAATAGTTGGAAAGGGATAGGAGAAAAGCAAAATGTAATGCTGATCAGTAAGACAGACCATTAAGACTGTTCTCTAGGAATAGTGCCTTATTCACCCATCCAACTAATCATCCTTCTACCTGACTGTCCATCAATTCACCCATCCACCCACCAATCTACCCACCCACCCATGCATCCATCCATTATTCATCCATGTATCCATCCACCCACCCATCCATTCATCTATCCATCCAACTACCAATCCATCTATCCATCCACTCATCCATCCACTCATCCACCCACCCATCCACCCACCCACCCATGCATGCATGCATGCATCCATCCATCCATTTACCAACCCATATGTACATATGTACATAAACACACACACACATCTAACTGTCCAACCATTTTGCCCTTAGTTCATTCCTTTATTGCCTTTTGTTTTGTTTTGTTTTGAGACTTTACCACTGTATCAACTTGTGCTGAAAAGTATAAGGAACATACAAGACGTGAACCCCAACTATAAAATCCAGGATCTACATTTTTTAATTACAGAGGATACACTAAAGAAAATACTTCTGTGGCTCCAAGCATAGAGAGAGAGAGAGTTCCCTTCTCACCAAACTATCATCAATTCTGCACACAACAGCTGGGTATCTTCTAAGATAAGTCAATTCTGTCACTACCTGATAGATCAGGTCCCACAGGTTAGAACCCAGTCCTGGAGGCACCCCCTACTTTGAATGAGTTGTAAGCACAGGGTTTGTGACCTGAGCTTCTGATCAAGGGTCGATCCAGCAGGGCTCACTGTGAAGTTCTTAGAGACTACTGGTTCCAGTCATCTCATTAGCATACCAGACTATGCATCTTTCCAAGGCCTTAGAAGTAGTATTCGGGACATGGGGAGACAGACCAAATATACAGTTTATAACATTATAATACCGAAGACAGCTGATAAAAAGAACACTTCTCAAAAAAGGATTAGCAGTATAAGGGGCTGGAGAGCTGGCTCAGAGGTTAAGAGCACTGGCTGCTCTTCCAGACCTGGATTCTATATCCAGCACCGACACAGCAGCTCACAACTGTCCCCAACTCCAGTTCCAGGGGATCTGATACCTCTTCTGTTCTTGGTGATACAGACATACACAAAACACCCAAATACTTATTTAAAAGTTTTTTTTTAAATAGCAAGATGCATGGTGATTTAAGCTCACACAACTGTACTTTCTGAGGCTACTGGACCTGGATTGTAGGGGAGCTTGGAGTGGTATCAGAAACATTCTCTTGTCTGGGGGTGCCCGGTGAGTGTCTCACTGTGAGTGGGGATCTGAGGGCACTGGGTACTAACTTGATCACCTGTTCTGCTTCACTGTGCTGGTCCTCAGTCTTTACACACGGCATAGGAGTCACCACAGAGTGACCAAAGCCAGGCCCATGAAGGCTGCCGCCAAAGTCCTTTCAGCAAGTACAGCTGCTCCCTAGTGCTTGCACAAAAGCAGCCCGTGCCCGGCCCCACCCATGCCCTCCCTGCCCATGTGCCTCCCCGCCAACAGTTTCTGTTCCCTAAAGCAGCAGCTTTCTTAAACCCCATTATCTCTGACCACCATTGGGAAACTGCTCTTTTATAAACTTTTTGATAGCCTTCACCACCAGAAGGGCTCAGGCACTGGTCCAGTGAGTGGGCTAGGCAGAGGTCATTCTGATGGTAGAATCTTCTTCTGCATTCCTTCCCACGGTGAGCCTTTGACACCTAGTTTAACTCTGTGTGGCACACCTTCTCTTCCTTTAGGGTAAATTCTCTTCCAGTAGACTCCTGGGTTCTTCCTGTGAAAAAATTCCTGCTGGGCCTGTCCTGATTGCTCATTAACCATTTTTGACCCACCTATGGCCAGAACTTAGGCTCAAAGCAAAACCTTTTACACTATTTAAGGATGGGTGAATTGAATTGTGTGAATTCTGATCTAAGCCATAATTGGTTGGAGTATGGAACACTTTGTTGAAGGTACTGGAGCTTGATTTAATCCGAGAAAGGTAGAGTGTGGTACAATGATCAATTTGATACCTGCTGTATGTGCTGTATACGGCACACATACTAGGTAAAATGATTGCTAGATAAGCATGCAGCCTTGATTTTGAACCCTCAGCACCCATGTTAAAATCTGGGTATGGGAGCACTTGCCTATATAATCCTAGAAGTGGGGGGTGAAGACAGGTGAACATCATGGGCTAGGTAGTCTAGCTGAAAACTACAAGCTCCAGATTCAGGGAGAAATCTTTTCTAAAAACAAAATACAAAAAAAACCAGAAGTGATTGAGAAAGACATCCCAGGCTAAACCTCCAGCCTCTTTATGTAGTTGCATGGGTGAGTACCCTTGCATACACATTTATACACCTGCACACACACACACACATACACACAGCACACACACACACACACGGGGTGGGGGAGGAGGGGAGGAGGGAGAGAGAGAGAGAGAGAGAGAGAGAGAGAGAGAGAGAGAGAGAGAGAAACTAGCAGGGTTAGGCTCTCCCCCTAGATTACCAGTCCAGCTGCTGCCCTTCCTCCACTACCCTACATAGTCCCTTAGTGTGTTTTCATAAGATTGGGCCGGAAGCTCATTGAGGGCAGAGATGAGACCTACCCTGGACATAGCTTTGCCCGAGCACCACACACAAGCGGTCTTCTCAGCTTCTCCCCATGGCTGGTAATGATGAGTGCTGATGATGATGAATCTGTGGTGGTGCTGCCCAGACGCCCATCTCTGTCAGGGTTCGACTTCACAGCAGCAGAGAAAGGGTTAGTGGCTCCCCAAGGCATCTTTATATGTGATGGATTATTAGAGGACTCCTGACCGTTTCAAAACGCACATATTCATCAGTATTACCCAAGCCCCACGAGAGCCCTCAGCCACAAGATTCTCCTAAATGCTTTTCCTAAATGCAGACTCTGTCTTTGGCTTTCCTGCTGACATCAACCACAGAGAGAAGGCTGTCTTTGACTGTTTGTTGCCCTTGACGATTGAGATACCTGTTTGCAGATCTACTGATTTCCTAGGGGTCTATTTTCCAGTTCAACAAAGTATGGCGTGTACACAGCTCAATTTCACAGGAACGTATTTCCAAATCCAGCCCTTCAGGTTAGGTAGGGAGTACTGAGGTTTGTAGTTGAGGCAAATGGGGTGTGTCTTACATCTTCCCTATTCCATGAGCACACACCTGCAACCCCCCCCCGCCGTATTCTACCCCATGCCAGGCAGAAAACATAGTCCTACTGCCCAGATTGTGCACTTGTGTGTGTCTGTATCTTTCTGTGTATGTCTGCCTATATGTGTGTGTGTGTGTGTATCTGCGTCTACTTGTCTGTGTGTATCTCTGTGTGCCTGTCTGTCTCTGTGTGTGTTACATACATACAGACACACACACACATACACATACATGTTAACAACAAGTGTCCTCCAACTTATTATTATTTTCTTTTTTGAGACAGAGCCTCTCACTCAACCTAGGCCTCACCAATTCCACGAGATTGCCTATCCAGCAAGCTGGGGGATCCTCCTGTCTCTGTCCCCCGAGGGCAGGGATCACAGGCTCACGCTGCTGCAGCTGCTCTTCTCCACGGGTGCTGGGTGGATGCTCAGATCCTCCTGCCTGCACTCACAGACCGAGTCACCTCCCAAGTCCTTAGCTATGTGCTTTCTGTAGTTAGTAATAAATCATCACCACAGACTGAGCACTCTGCTCCGGGGGAAGGCCAGAGAAGAGCATCCTGACTCTACCCTCCACTAGAGACCACTGAGGTATGAGGCTATCAGGTAGCAGGTAATTAAGTGCTTGATTTTGAGGCAAAGAACAGGATAAAAACACCTGGGAATGTTAGAGGTAAATATAGACTTCCCTTCTCAGGAAAGCTTTGTGCAAGGTGACATGGGGGCCAATGGGATGAAACCTGGGCCTTCTAGGGGGCTGGAAAATGAATTCAAAGACAAACCAGGCTTTAGCCAGGTCTAAGCCCGTTTTTTACTATCTAGAGATCAGCTTGAACCTTCCCAGTTCCTGCTTCCTCACCCACCACACACGACCAACCCATATGACCTTCTAGTGTAAAGTCTTTGTGGTCTTCAAAACTGGCTGTGTACAGATAAAATTTTATCTAAGTCTGGGGAGATAATTTAATTGGTAAAGGGCTTGCCACATAAGCAGGAGGACTTGAGTTCAATCCCCAGAAGTCATGTATTAAAAGAAAAAATTCAGGCATAGTTGTGTGTGCTTGTGAACCCAGTGCCAAGGCGGTGGAGAAAGGTGGCTCCCTGGGGCTTAGTAGCCAACCGGCCTAACCCAAGCAGCAAGCTCTGGGCCAATAAGAGACCCTGACTCAAAAGACAAGGTGGATGGCACCTGAGGAATGACACTTGAGGTTGGCTTCTGACATACACACACACACACACACACACACACACACACACACACAGAGACAGAGAGATATTTATTAAAAGGGGGCAGCTGGTGCCTCAGAGGTCATTTATTCCCACCTCTATTGCAAAATGAACTCTGGGATGGATAAGCAGGAAAAGATAGAGGCCCAGACTCTAGCTTGCAGCTGCCTCAATTCCTGCCACAAGCTTAGTCTCTCCTGGCCCTAGACTTGGACCCAACCATGGCCTCCCGCCCTGCTGACCAGAGGGTGCAGGGTGGAAGAGCAAGAAGTCTCTCTCGTGTCTGATGCAGTGCCCGAGAACATTAGAAGCAGAAAAGGAGCCGAGCGTCCTCATCCAGCTGGAAGATCAAAAGCCACGAGACACAGAAAGTGTATTCTTTTGTCAGGGTTGTCTGCAAAGGCCATTTGGCAGAACTGACTGAGTGGCAGGGGTTGATGCCAACCAAGCAAGACTTCAGCCAACATGAGGGTGGCAGGTGACAACCACCCAGGACTCAGGGCAGAGGCAGCTCTGTTTGCCATCTGCCATGCTTTGGCCTTTTGGTCAGGCACCATGGGGTGCCGCCCTTGTGCCTAGTCCATGCCAAAAAGCAGAAAATGATGGCAGATGCTCAAGATGGCCCTGGGCAGGATGAGAGGGCACAGCTCAGTTTCGATCTGGTGTCTGCTAGAATGGGGACAGCGGGGGTGAGGGGGGGGGGGCGAGCAGATCTGAGAAGCTGGCTTGGGCCCTTCTGAGAAGCCAAGGACAAGGCCCTGGGGGCAACCACCAAATCCAGGAGACTGAGCAGAGAGAGAGGAGTCTTGTTCATTCCTCAATCCCAGCTCCCAATTTACAGATGAAAAATCTGAGCCTCATTCAGTGCTTTTTAGCAGCAAAACAGAAGCTACAATTGTGTGTCCTACTTTTCAGCCCAGGCCCGTTTCTACCATCAAATACCTTTGTGTATTTGGGGGGTGGTTCACAAGTGTATATATTCATGTGGGAGTCGGAGGTCAAGATCAGGAGTCTCCTTCAATCACTTTCTGTCTTATAAGACAAGATCTCTCAATGAATCTGGAACTTTCTGTTACAGCTAGATAAGCTGGCCAGGAAGCCCAGGGGTCCTCCTGTCTCTGCCTCCCTAACACTGGAACTGCAAGTGCACACGGCCATGCCTGGCTTTTTACATAGGTTCAGGAGATCAAAATCTGGTCCTCATGCTTACACAGCAAACACTGTACCAATTGTGCCACATCCCCAGCCCCAGAAAATACCTACCTTCCCTAAAAAGGGCAGGGACTGGACCGTAATGCAGAATGTAGCGATTATAACAGTACCTGGCACAAGGGTTGTTTTGCAGGTTCAGTGAGTATCTACACTACATAAGTCTCCTTCCCCAGAAATGGGATCCAGCGCTTGCCTGCTGCTCCACTTTTTGGTGCAGACTGATTTCTTGTGTGTGGATGGAAAGCAGGCTCAGACTGGTCATTGAACAACTCACCATAAAAACGTCTGCCTTTGTATTAGCCAAGAGAGAGTAGATGCCATGTGGCTAACCTCTCTCTCTCTCTCTCTCTCTCTCTCTCTCTCTCTCTCTCTCTGTGTGTGTGTGTGTGTGTGTGTGTGTGTGTGTGTGTTGGTTTTCTGAGACAGGGTTTCTTTGTGTAGTCCTGGCTGTCCTGGAACTCCTCTGTAGATCAGGCTGGCCTTGAACTCAGAGAGATCCACCTGCCTCTGCTTCCCGAGTACTCAATTTAAAGACATGCACCACCACTACCTGAGAATAATTTTTTGTTACGTGGCTAGCTACATAACCATATACACAGCTCAGAAACAAAACAACCCATCTCCTATGTCCTGTCTTCCCCATAGGGGTGGCGTAGGCAGCAGCCGGGAAGGCCTCGCAAACATACCAGCCTCCCAAGTGCACTGGAGCGATGTCAATCCACGGTGGATGCTTCTAACCGAAAGCAACAAGTCACAGCTCCAAGCGTCCTCCTTGTATCCTGGCTGCCTGTCCTAGTGGCAGATGCGGCTCTGGGCTCTGGGCCCCAGGACCAGGCTGCTGCCTTCACAGGCCGGTTCTATCACTTTCCTGCTTGGTGCCCTTGCTCTGGCTGAATTGAATCTAGAGTCCTCTCCCAGCCGGCTGCTTCCTAATAAGGGTAGTCACTCTGTTCCACTTTCCTTTCCTGTTTAAAGCCACTGATTGGCCGTCAAGAGTAGCTCTTTTTAAATTGCACAATGACATTTTCTCCCTCGGAACAACCTCGAGGGCAATGTTCAAGTACTTCCTCAGTTTACCTGAAGTACTCGATACAGACCTGTTAGTCAATTGATTGACTGGCTAGGTGATCAAAAGTCCACCCCATGAGCTCAGAATAGCACTCCAGGGTAGTCCCCAGTACAGTAGAACTGGTCCTGAAGTTGTAGCATCTAGGGGGAAGAGAATCCTAAATTCCAAAGCTCTCATCCCAGTCGCTTTTTATTTTCGTGGGGGAGGGGCAAACATGTGCCAAGTCGTTGGGAGGCCATGTTGGTCAGAGGTTGCAGTATCATGGCCTGGCAGCTTTCTCCAAGCTCAGCAACATGGACTCCTTGCCCAGCAAGGTTTCCTGCCCTCTACTTGCTGTTATTTGGAGGATGTCTCTAGGTCCCAATGCCCGACTTATCTCAAGGATGACCTCGACATAGTTACCTGCAAATACTCTTCCCCTGATGGTAATTAAGTACCCAGCTTTATGATAGGCGTGTGCTGTTGAATGCAAACTATTGATTCCCCAGCTACTGCCCCCAAACATATATTCCATATACTCTGAACTGTCTCACTGAAGTCATCTCCCGGAGAGCTATCTACAGCTGTCCAAACCCTGTTCTCCACTCCTGCTCCCTCCAACTCGTGGACCGGTGGCCAATGATCCTGTGGAAGAAGCCGACTGACACCAAGCCACACGTGAGCCTTCTACCTTGTTTGAGACTGAGCCCCTTCAGTATCTGTAAATGAGTACACAGCACACGAGGCTAGCCGGCTCCTGACTTGACTTCCCTTCTCGCTGTAGGAGCTCTGGGACTACAGACACAGGCTAGCATGCTCAGCTTTGTGTGGGTCCTGGGAATTCAGATTCAGGCCCTCATGCTTGTACAGCAAATGGTTTTCCCACTGAGCCATCTCCCCATCTCTCTTATTATTTTTTATCTTTTTGTTTTGTGTTTTGAGATGGAAGGGGGTCTTGCTTTGTAGTTCAGGCCAGCCTGAAAGTTACTATGTAGCTCTAATGACCTTGAACTCACTATCTTGTAGACCCAACCTCCTTAATAAGATCAAAGTAACAGCAGCCCCTTTTATTCCTTGGGGGCACATTTGGATCCAAACTGTGCCTTGGAAGGAACAAGATAGATCCTGATCCATCAGCACCAGAAAGCCATCTCCTGTGAAAGCAGGTATTGCCTTGATGGATTCTGCCAGGCAGGGACTGTGGCCAGCTCTCCAATCGATACTGCTCAGCAGAGGCCTTTGGAGAGCAGAGCAGAGCAGAGGAAAAGAGAAAGGTCGTTTGCTTAATAAATGGACTTTTGCTGCAGAGGGTCTGTCCTTTCCTCTCCCCTCTCCCTCTCTCTCCTGGTGCTCGCTCACTGCTTGCACTCTTTCTCTCTCTCTCTCTCTCCCTCCCTCTTTCCCTCCCTCTCTCACTCTCTCTCTTTTTCTCAGTTGTGTTATTCTAGCTCTTCTCTCCTCCTCTCTCTCCACCCTCCCTCCTTCCCCCCTCAACATGCTAAAAGATATTGCATATTTTTAACTTATTTTTTATTGCCGAAACAGTAGTTCCACCTGCCATAAATACTGTGGGGAAGAAGATAGGGTAGGCAACGGGGGATGGATGTGGATGGGTATATAGTAAGAACTAAGTACATGCTATTTGAGCCTGACTGTTTGTTCCTGTAAGGGACCCTTTTCTTCATCTGGTTTTCCTAAAGCCATTAGGATGGGGCAAATCGAATGCCAACCAAAGATTCCTAATAATGCCGCATTCTTTCAATTCCAGCTTTCCCCTCTCTTCCTGGCTTGCGGAGTCAGGCTCTTGTGTCCTGCCTATTGAACATTCCCGTAGTTTAACAACACTGTCACAGGGGTAGCAGATTGGGGTGTCCTCTGTGAGCTGTTGTATTTGGGGTTTCCATAATCAGTGCTGAGACCCTGTCCTCTACTACGCCCTCCTTTAACACCTGGGGGAACTGAGGTTCTGTAGGACTGATCAACTGGCTCAAGGTGACAGAATGGATTAGTAAAGAGTCAGGGTGAAGGGGAGCAAAGGGCACAGGTTTAACTGGGTCCAGAGAAACGTTATTTGGGCTAGAGTATCCTGGTGGTTGTCTTTAGCTAGGGGGCAGGGAGGTACAGAACACCCCAAGATCAGAGTCTCCAAGGGCCCCTTTGCCACACTAACCTCTAATTTCTGGTTTTGTCTATAGAAAAAGAGAATAGAGACGTCTCCCTCTTTGTAGGTAAATTAACTTTCTCTTGTGGTATATGAGCATGTGGGAGGGGATTTTATGCTCAAACCATAACAACCTTTATTATAAATCAATTCATATTCATAGGCTTTGAGGGTTAGGATGTGGGCATGTCCTCTGGGAGGGGTGAGTCAGCTATGGCACCAAGTAGCCTAAAGTAGACTGTTTCAAAGTATGTGTTCGGCTACCATGCTCAGCGAGTCCACTGGAGAACGCTGGGTATGAAGAAAGAAAGCAGGCTCAGAGGGAGCGACTGACACGAAACCTTCAGAAAAACGGGGGAGTTTTAGGTTCCTGAGCACAGCTGTATGTCATGGGGTCCTGAGGTGGGAAAGCAACTGAAATAGGAAGGATGGTGGCCATAAGCAGCCATAGTGAGACCCTGAAGGGAGAAAGAGCCGCCCTCTCTAGTCTCAGACCATTAGAGGAAAAACAGCGTCACGGCCATAGGCAGCTGGGAAGGGCCTCCAAGGGGAGACATGGGAGCCTCTGGGCCCTCAGTTCTCTCAGACGCTCTGGAACAAAGGGAGTGCTGTCTCATAGGTTTCAGGGGGTGGAACTGGGGTGCGGTAAGTTTTGTACCATATGACCTAGCCTGGCCTAGTCTATGTGCCAAGCCGTCACAGAGGCAGGCACCAGGCTAGACCATAAACTTATCCCAAAGCCGTATGGGGACACGGAGGAGCTTCAAGTCCACAGTACTGCTTACCAATTCTCTGACCCAGAGAAGGATTACTGCAGGGGGTATGCCTTGATTTGGGGGATGTGGGGGAAGTGAATTAGAATGTTTATGTTCTAACAGGGTCTTCCACCCTAGAGTTGGGGGTAGGTCTTTATGGTGTGGCCGGCAGTGTTGGCTGCTAAATAGAGAATGATTTCTCTGCACCACCATCAAATGTCTTCCTCTCTTTTCATCTCCTACTGGAGCCAACCCACAAAGGAAACTAACAGAAAGCCAGTAGAGCGACCTAAGAGCATTTAAAGAACAACACATGAAACCAAACAGCAACCTGAATACCTCAGCCCGGAAGAGAGGCATCCAACACTGTGCACAAAAGCAGAAAGAAGACTTGTTATCCGGGCACTGAGAGAGAAACCCTCAGGAAGTCCCGCTCGGAGAAGCATGTCTATTGTAAACACTGTAGTTTCTCTGGCTCCCGGGAACTAGTGCACAGAGCTCTGCATCCAGGTAGCCAAGGGTATAACTATAATATTAATAACCAGCACGGCCTGGACACCAGTTGTCAGAGTGGACCCTTCTAGGTCTAGACATGGGCTGGTGACTCTGGGGACATCTGGATCTCCAGAAGGGTTGGCTGGATTGCTGGGGTGTGACAGAGCTCCAGGCCACTGACTTTATGACAGAGACTGACTGTTTGACGCCAGGGTACCTGCTCTGATGCACATGGGCTGAACAATAGGTATCGATGGTGCCATCTTAGATGAGGTACAAGGGTCAAAAGGTTGAAGACAGCTCTCTGAAACCTGTGGCTAGGCCATGGAGCATCTACTTAGGAAGCAAAAGATGCTGGGATTGCAGATTTGATTTCAGCCAGGAAACCTCTGAGTGGATTTTATCCAGAAGCTTAGAGCAAAGCACCGGCTCTCCAGCTAACTTAGCAGGGAATCTCAGGGCAGCTTCCTCCTCCCCAGGGAGCCCTGAGTCTGACTCAAAACACCAGTAAAGTTTCATCAGCAGTGCCCAGATCTGAGGCCTCCTCCACAGCACATACAGGGTAGCATTTGAAGCAGGGCATCCTTGCCCAACAGAGAGAGGATGGAATGTTCAGATTCTGCCAACTGGAGGGACTCAGAGTAGAACATTTCAACGTGGCGGCAGGAAAGGCCTGGAAGGAATCAGACCAGTTAGCTACTGGTGGGTATTTATGGAACACTTGGCATGTGACATGTTAGTGAGTATGAAGGTCAGCTGAGGTCAAATGGGGAGACTCCCTCACAGTCTGCTTCCTGGGCTGTCACTGTGCTGCTACCAGCCTCACTGCTGTGCTGGGTTTGGGTCTCTCTCTCTCTCTCTCTCTCTCTCTCTCTCTCTCTCTCTTTCTCTCATTTAATTTTAACTTTTGCGTGCATGTGTACATGTCCAAGCACATACACAAATGAGTGTGCAGAGAACGTCTTTCTCATACGCACTCCACGATGTTTTTTGAGGCAGGGTCGCTCACTGAACCTGGAGCTCACTGATTTGGCCCCACTGCTGGCCAGCAAGCCCCAGGGAGTCTCCCATTCTCTGCCACCATGTCTGGGTTTATGATGTAGGTTCTGGAAGTTGAGCTCAGACCTTGACACTGGCACTGCAAGCACTTTGCTAAGGGAGTCATCTCTCCTGCTCCAACTGTCCTAGTAGTAACTGGGGCAGGGGAGGTTTCATTGGTAAGAAAAAACAGTTGGGCAAACCACTGACTTCATATATCCAAGAGAAGAAACTGAGGCACAGAAGAGCAATGACTAGATGTCACTAAATGGGTGAGGCTTCTTCATAGTCAGCCCAACACACTTAGGCCCTCCCATCTCCTTATCATGTACCAAGTATCCAGCACTCTGCTAGGCTGAGGGGCATGAGAAAAAAATAAAAACATTGGACACACACACACACA